GGACTTGTTTTATTTGTTCTGTTTTAGATTTTATCAAATAGTCTGAATTCACTTTTTTGTTCTATGTAGACCCAAGTCCTTTAAACTAAGTTTTGTATGTCTAACACCATTTATCATATTTTAATATTTTAGTAGAACTTATTCCCCTATGGCCTCAACCACCAACCTTTAGTTGTTGGTGGAAATTGATCTTGTGAGCCACAGGCTTATGCTTTATTGCTCGGATCGTGTTGGGGCATGAAATTTAAAATAAGCGAAAAGGTTACAAGAGAACGTCTGTCAAACCTACTTTTTCGGGCAATGATGTACCTGATTGGGCTTCAAGGACTTTGGCCCATAGCTGAAGAATCACATTATTTGATGGTTAAATTACATAAAACCAGACATTTAAGTTAACAAATTCAAAAATCAGATCTAAACTTTATTTATTCACACAATTCAGGTGATAAATCAATTTTTTAATATTAAATAATAATACTCCAACCCCCACCCCCAGTGCACCCTATAATTTCAATTTCAATCCTCAAATCATTGCTTCCCATCTATTTTCTCTATTCCCCCATCTCTTTATACTCCACCTCCATACCCGGCGACGCCTTTTCTCTTTACCCAGCCCATACTCCCCCGGGCCGCGAGTAGAGGTGGCGTCGACAGCACGTCGAGGAGGTCAACAAGCGTTGCTGCTCTAATGCACTGTGCATCGGTAAACAAATCGGCGCTGCGTGTGGCGATTTGAGCTCCGACGAGGTGGCGCTCGTGCTTTTAGGGCCAATTGAGGTGGCACTAGGCTAGTTAGCCATCTCGGCTTTACTTGAAGGTAGAACTGTGGCGGCAGGGGTTGTGTTTGTGTTTGGCTGGTTGTGTGTTTGAGTTTGGGTTTGATCTATACGTGGAATGGTGAGGGTGTTAGTAGTGGATGAGGGGTTGGGGGATTGCCCAATTGTTTGAGTTTCAGTAGTAGTTAGAGTTGTGGGGATGGTATTGGTGGTAGGTTTGGTTGCCTGCCCATCTGCTTGAGTTTCAGCAATAGGTAGAATTGTGGAGATTGTGTTGGTGGTGCCTTCTCAGTCGTTTGAGTTTCAGCAGTAGGGAGAGTTATTTGGATGGGGGGTAATGGTGGTGGTCTAGGGGATTTTCGCATTCCTAGTTGGAGTGGGGTGAGATGTTGAGCAATTGCGACCAATTATTTAGGTAATCGTAACGAATAAAATGGATCGATTGGGGGCTGCTCTATCCATCTTCTTTCTATCGATCTTCTCTTTCTTTAAATACCACAATTTGACATTCTTTCTATCTCTAAATACAAAAATTAGATAGAATTAATTATGGTGCTGGTCTGCGGTGTGTGCGGATTTATTTGTGGTAACCTTCTGTGACCAAGTGTGACCTTCTTATCATATGGATTTGTTTTCCATTTTCTTATCATTCTGGATTTGGAGAAAATATGACTTGGGTTGTAGGAAGCATTGATGGTACAAAAAGTGCAATTTCATTCGATGCTCTTGGTTATTTGTGGTGATCCTATGCGATCAAGTATGTGTTTGATTGTGATCGATTATGACCAATTTTGTGTTGATTGTGACCGATTGTGACTTGAGATTAACCTAGTTACAGACAGTCACACTGAACACAAATTTGGTCATGGTTAGTTACATTGAATACAAACTTGGTCACAATTAGTCACGAATGACATGTGTCAGCGAATGGGGGTGGTGGTAAGTGGATCCATGGGGTGGGGGTGTGATTTCCAATTTTTAATTTTTTGAAAATTTTTGAATAGTCGCCAGAGTCTATAGCTGTCTCCGGTGGAAAGGTAGAGGGAAGGTGGTGTAGTAGGTGATAGGATGTGGAAGGTGAGGTGACATTAGTAGAAAAAATTAATGTATATTATATTGTATTTTAATATTTAATAAATTTATTTATCACCTAATTTTTGAAATATTTTAATGAGTTTGTTATTTATGAAGAGTGTGTTTGGAGCATATTAAAATGAGAGAATTCATTTTTTTGATGTGACATGATAGGGAATATGTGGTTGATGTGATAGAAAATATTATTTTATTGAAAAATGTGTAGTTGAAAATAAGAATGAAAAATATAATGTGGCTCAACCATGTGCGAAATATGATTTTTAAAAGTACGAATTATGTATTGTTCCCTTATTTGACGTGGAAATTACACTACCAGATTTTTTAAAGTTTCAATTTCAAAATTCAAATTTAAAGATTTTTAATACTAAAGTTAGATGATAATATAATTTTTAAATATTAACAATAATATTATAAAATTAAATAAATTTACAAATCTACCACCCACCAAAATAACTCACCTCACCCCAATTTAAATTAATCAACACAACCCAACCTACCTCATTCACACTAAACCCTAATTTCCCTTTCTATAATTTTCCGGCTCTTTCTTGGCAACACAACTCAGACGTTGAGGCGCGGCATCAGAGGCATAGCCATCGCTTCGCCTTAGTGGATGCGCAGCTCTGCCACTTCGTCCAAGTGGATGAGACATCGAATGTGTAGCTCTACGTAGCAAAGTTGAGGCATGGCGCTACACCTCAATGGTTCTGCCTGGTCACAACGTCGCTTGTAGATCTGAACTTTTCTCCAGTATTGCGAATCACAAAGGCGATCTAAACTTTTCTTCGACGTTACGGATCACAGCACCGCTTGTGGAGGTTACTGTGGTGATTTTGCGACATTGTGCATTGATTTTTGTGGCAATTTTGTGGCATGTTTTGTTGTGGTTTTTTAGGTGGTGGTGGTGGTGTGCTGTAGGTGGTGGTGGCGTATTGTGGTGGTGTGTTGTGGACGTGGTGGTGGTGTTACGGGTGTTGTTGCAATGTTGGCGAGGTGGTGGTAGTTCTAGAAGCGGTGGTGGGAAAAATGTTTTGTGACCAATAAATTGTTAATTTGTTACCAATAAATAATATGTAACCTAAAAGAATGCATGATTGTGACTAAATTTGTAATTATAATTCAGAATTTGATAAATTGCAACTAATTAATTTGATAATTTGTGATCGTGAAATAAGTTGTGACGTATAAAAATTTGTGATTTGTAACCGTGAAACAAATGGCTAAATTATTCAAGGATGAGGTTGGTCGAGCTTGTTGGTTTGTGTGATAGATGACTCAGTTAAATATGTCATTTTCAATGAAAACAAATTGGCGATTTCCAACTTGACTCGCTCCATCAAAGGACAAGTCAAGCCGACTCAAATTTGAATAGTCTCGTTTAACATCCCTACACGATTGCTATTTGCTAGAGTGTGTGGTGCTTGGCAATATTAGATGGATTAATAGTAGAAAATCCCCTAAAACGTTTTCAATTGCGATATATACCTATTGAAAATCGCAGAAAACCTCCATATTTGAAACATTTTGTGCGGAAATCCCTTACCTCTAATTTCGTTAGTTTAACTGTTAAAAATCGTCAAAAATGCCAAAATTAAAAAAGAATAATCATAATTTCATTATCCAAACTTTATACTTTTTTTGCAAATTATAACCAATATTTTTATGGATCTTGCTAGGGGTATATAAATTTTCACATAATTACATGTGGCACATATCCAACCTTTAATTCAAATCTCACACTTTCACATCAACTACAAGATGATTGCCACATCACATTATGTACTCCTCTATGTAAATAAATTATGTACAACAAGAATTATCCTATTTTTATATGTGCCGCCCACGATCCCAAATTTTTAGAACTTTATTTTTCCAACCCAACCACTCTTCATCTTCTTCCCAAACCCACATCATCCTAACCTTTTGAATATCTAACCCACTCCTTTTCCATCTTTCCATACCCCGTAAATAAAAATCCAAAATACAAAAATCCCCACATTTTCACAATTGGATTTGAAAACAAACCAATCTTTTCACAGTTGGATCTGTTGTTGAGGAACTAGATTTATGCATTAAATTGAACCAATTGACCAACTGGGTCCGCACCAAAGGTTTGATTCACCACCCCAAAACCACCATTGAACTTGAACTCACCCGTGGGCAGCGATGGGGGCAGTCCCAAAACGAGAAAATATTCACCACAAACATAAACCTCAAGAACTGGTAAAAATAATAGAAAAATTAAAAAAAGCAAAAGTGATTATTCGTAAAATCTATGAACCTGAAACAAATGCTACTCCACGCTTAATGCTTTCCGACTTGAAACTGAAATCTTTAGCAGTTTAAGGAAGCCACCTAACTATATGGCAAAGTTTGGGCTGTCGATAAATAGTTAAGGGTTGGCTTAGAACTGAACAGATGGGTAGGATTGAAGACAATCGTGAAAAAGAGCAGTCTGGCTAGTGTGAGGCAGCTGCTTCATAGATTGATTTGACCAACCTCATCCTTGCATAATTTAGCCATCTTTTTCTGGTTGCCATGAGCTCATTCTGCAGAAGTTTTGTTCCTTCACTTACATCCCTGCCAGTGAGAGCTATCTGCTATAAAGTCATTGTGGTCAATTGCCAGATTAGAGAGAGAAAGTAGGAGAGCGTTGGCAATGAATATTGCTACTTGCAGTCGTTCACTGGAGCAGTCGTCCTATGTTGCATACACATGTCAAGTGTGTATTTGATACATTAAATGTGGTCAAAAACTACTACATTAATGTATCAAATAACTACATGTCTGCCATATGAGGCGATTACTGTAGTAAACGACTACAAGTAGCATTACTCGTTGGTAATACTACATGATATAAAATTATTTTGGGCGGGGGGTTTTGGTATTTCGGTTTTGAATTTTGGATTTTTACGTTCTTTGGGCGAGTTCTAGTTGGAATCCCCTATATTTACTCACTGTGGCGGTGTGTCCCAACAATAGTTTAGTTCATCAAACACAGTACAGTACATAGAAAAACCTCACATAGTAAAGTCCGCCACTCCCAACGGACATTTCGAAGCTCCATTAAACCCCTTCTCTCTTATAAAACAAATCCAGAACACACTCGCACATCAAATTTCTCCGAAAATGCAATCTGCAATCTCTCTCTCGCTCTCTTCTCCTTCGACGATCACCAGATCCGACTGCACTGTCGCCGCCAATGTGTATTTGTGTACGCCGAGATCTCTCCGATTTTGCGGTCTAAGAAGAGAAGTGTTTGAATCCAAGTCGTTCAATTCGTTGTCGGTTTCGACTCGATTAGTGCCGCGTTCTAGAGATTCGAGTTTTAACAAGGTTTGTGCTGCGTTGCAAAGCAATGGAACGCCGTCCAAGGGGGGATTTGATTATGATCTCGTGATTATTGGAGCTGGTGTTGGTGGACATGGTGCTGCTCTTCATGCTGTTGAGAAGGTAAAAGTAATACTTGAGTATGTTAATTCGTTTTCCTTATTTTTAGCTGCTTCATTGTAAGCTGAACGGATGGTGATGAGTAGTTAGTTTTTTTTTTATTTTGTTAATTCAAGGTTGTAAGTTATTCGAAGCAACTAAAAAACTTCCATATCATGATTTACTAGCATCTCTGTTATATTGATTTCTGTTTGGTTAAGAGTGAGACCTTTTTTGGTGATATGAAACATTTGTATGTACTTCTCAATTCAGTTTTGTGACTATGAAGTGTTTATGATCCAAGATGAGTGCTTGATTTGTTGTACGCAGTCAAATGGGCGTCCCTATCTATTTACTTTCCAAAGATGTTGAGTATAAATATATTCCCGCTCTGAAATACTAATGTCCATATTATTGTTATTTGTGATGCCAGATGTAAATCATTTTTTTATATTTATGTAGCTGAGAGTCATGAGAAGATAGATAACTCATGTGTACTGCAGGGTTTGAAAACTGCAATCATTGAAGGAGATGTCGTCGGAGGAACTTGTGTAAATAGGGGCTGCGTGCCTTCAAAAGCACTTCTGGCTGTGAGTGGCCGCATGCGTGAGCTTCAAAATGAACACCATATGAAGTCCTTTGGGCTACAGGTACTTCTCATTATGACAATCAAGGTCGACGCATGTGATGTAATTCACTGTCTTATTAAATTATCTTCGAGACTGAAAGGTTCTGAAATAATTTCAGAATGTACAAGCATCATCACGATCTTGGAAAACTGTACTACCATTTTTTCTATAAATTATTCTTAGTTCACAGAATATTCAGAACTGTATAATGTGAATTCAAATTATTTGCCTGCCGTTTGGTAATAAAAATTCTATAGGAAGTTTTACTGAAGTTCCGATGATTGCATAGCCTTTTGAAAGGAATGTGATAAAGATTATTGTGTTTCTATGACAACCTATAGCATGTCTGGAAGTAAAGTTGATAAACGTAGAATTAAGTAATAGCAACATGAAACAAAACATTTGTTCTTTTGCACAGTGAATTGGTTAACAAGAAGCTTAAATGGGCAACGATTTACCATTTAGAAATCTGTATCAAGCTACGCATAGTAAGGAAGTCATGTGACCGCCAGTGGAAATTTGCTTGAACGATTGATGACTTTTTCTCTTATCGTGTTCTTTTAATTGGTGTATCCTTCCCAACGTATCAAACAACACATACCACAATGATAGGTTGCAGCTGCTGGATACGACAGACAGGGAGTTGCAGATCATGCAAACAATTTGGCCTCAAAAATACGAAGTAATTTGACAAATTCAATGAAGGCTCTTGGTGTTGATATATTGACAGGCACTGGTACAATTTTGGTAGGTTGATGTATTTTCTCATCAGTATTTTGAGGTTTGAATTCTTGTGTTAATCCTTGTAACTCTATTACTAGTAAATCAAACTTATTTTTATGGTTTAGGTATAATTAAAAATTACAGCATAACAATTATAAGCATATCCAGGGTCCACAAAAGTTGAAGTTCGGAAAAGGAGGGTCTGGGGACACTATCATAACAGCAAAAGACATAATAATTGCTACCGGTTCTGTTCCCCTTGTGCCCAAGGGAATTGAAGTTGATGGTAATCATTTGTTTCTTTATCATCTTTTATTTTTAGCATAATTTCCAAGAAGATGCTTTGTGTTTTCCTTTACTCTATTCTCATCTTAACAAATTAATCATTTTTGTAGCGATGCCGTTAGGAAGGAGAAGGGAGAGTGAGAGAGACAGAGAGACGGGGAAGAGATGGAGGATTCTTAGTTGCTTTGTATTTTCCTTTATTCTATTACTGTCTTAACAAATTAATTATTTTTGTAGCGGCACGGTTGTAAAGGGAGAGGGAGAGGGAGGGAGAGAGAGGGGGCGAGGAGAGGATGGAGGATTCTTGTGTTATTGTATCATAAAAGACGCCAAGGTTTCTATTGAAATAAAATGCCCTGGTGTCATTGACAGGAAAAATCTCTATAGCTTTCAAATTACTAGAATTTAAATGCTACCATATTTTTGTCGACCTGGTAGGCTATTTTGTTAAAGTGCACGGAAATTGTAATTTTCCAATATGACTACCCGTTCATGTACCTAACAATTTTGCACTGAAAATTAGAACACATAATTCTGTAGGGCCTAATGAAATCATCATGTAATTTCCTCATAGGCTTCCCCATGCTCTAGACTTATCACTGCATTTATTGAGTGTTTCATCGATGCTATAAATCTATGGTGTTGAACAAAATTTTGGATCAGACTGTTAGGCATAACAAGTATTTAATCTAAAAATGAAGTTATCACCTTAAAGTGTGTTCTTTTTAATGTCATGTTGGAGGACAGAAAAAATGGAAACCATTATCTGTACAATGTTTATTGTTTGAGTAACTGAGACAATAGAGTCTTTTGGCATTGATTTTTACTTTGTACATTTTTATTGCTGTCTTCATAGATTTTCCATCACTCTGCATGGCTGAGGTGCAGAGCATATTCCTTAACAGTTTCTCTTCTTTATTATATATTTAAACTATTGATGCATGGCTGCAGGTAAGTCTGTAATAACCAGTGATCATGCTCTTAAACTGGAATTTGTTCCGGAGTGGATAGCCATTGTAGGAAGTGGTTACATTGGGCTCGAATTCAGTGATGTCTATACAGCACTTGGAAGTGAGGTGTGACTTATTATATTGTTACTCTATTTTTTATAGGATAATATTACCTGCACATGTTATCATGATTCATCATTTGATATTTCATATTTTCTCTAGTGTAAAATGACCATATAGAAATCAGAGTTGTCCTTCATTCTTTTTCTCTCAATTTCGATTTTGTTGTGTGCTATATTTTATATAAAAATTGACTTAAAAGATGGTGGAACTTTAACTGTATGTTTAGTTGAAGTACAGAAAATTTACAATACCAATGAACTATAGATGTATAATCACCATAATAAATTCAGTGAAACTAAACAGATATATATTGTCACATCTACAGAAAAAATCTTCACTTGATGCATGATAATATTGTTTTTTCTAAAAAAAATATTTTAATGACAAAGTATTAAATATGATCAAGAAATTATTTTGTAGTTGAAGATATGCATAATGTAAATTTAAAATAGAAATGAACAAGTTCGCATAGAGGTAGTCTCATGGTATGCTTTTTTATAAAATAATATATGGACTAAATATTTATTTTGTGATATAGCAAGGAAGTGTTATGAAAATTATTTGAAGACGTATTACATGATTTTGTAAATAACGACTACTGAAGATATTAATAATATTATTAAACAGTTGGATGAAGTTATTTGCAATATTCACAACTCATTGTTGAACTTAATTAATCTTTCCAGTCTCCTCAATAATTTATACCAATTCTAGCTACAATTGATAAAATTTGCGAATAAAAACTTGTCATTTTAATATGAACCCGTATAAGGATTTGAATGAAAATTTCTCTGGATGATAAATATTGTGCTGAAATCCAAACCTGTTTACTTAGCAGCTAGCATACTTACTAGTTATACATGGTTGTATTAACATCAAACTTTGAGAACTTTAATAGCTAGCATGCTTGAGAGCTTTAATAGCTAGCATGCTTATAGATTAATCTTTCAAGTCGCTAAATGTAACATCCCAAAATAAAAACACCAAACCAGTTATAGATAACCATCACATTTAAAATATGGAATTGACAATGATCTTAAATAATCATCACAAACCCATTAAGTAAACTCGACTAATATATCATTTAAGTAAGGCAATAAATGTAACATCCCAAAATAAAAACACCAAATAAGGAGCTATAGATAACTATCACATTAAAAATTTGGAATTGACAATGATCTTAAACAAATATTATCATCACAAACCCATTAGTAGACTCGTCTGATATTATTGAACTGTTAAAAATCTCATAAGTTTAGGACAAAAAAATAAAACACCGTGATCATCGCAGCTACAGCATATTGAGGTTTTATTGAATGACATCCATTTATGAGAATTTCCAGAAGAAGGTCCTGCTGTAAAAGAATCTTATTGGCATCAATGCAGTAGCTACTCAGATCCTGCTCTTCGAGGGTCATCAGATAACTTTCCTCTTCTAAAAAATTTCTTAGCATGGGACCAAGAGAAGGAAGGAAGGAGAAAATAAAGAGAAGAGAAGAGACAGTGAGAATTCGAAGAAAGAAATAGAGTGAAAAAAGGAAAATTCTGAAGGGGCAACTGCTACTCTGTATTCTCATATATACTTTTCGGGAATATTTGAATCCCTGCCTTGATTACTGATATCCACTGAAATTTAAATAAAACAAATTATAAGTTGTTCTCATTTTATGTCATTATTTTCTTGGTAAAATGCATATATATGAGACTCAAGCTGATCGCAGTTGAACTTCACAGGTTACGTTTATTGAAGCTTTAGATCAACTCATGCCTGGTTTTGATCCTGAAATTGGAAAACTAGCTCAACGAGTTCTTATCAATCCTCGGAAGATTGACTATCATACTGGTGTATTTGCTAGCAAGGTAATTGATGCGACTCAGCTGCCTGTTGCATGCCTGCCAATAAATCAACTCAGATATTTAAGATATTATTTGCACATTGTGAGTTTAACTTCCATCTACAGATCACTCCAGCAAAGGATGGAAAACCAGTAATAGTAGAACTGATCGATGCAAAGACAAAAGAACCAAAGGGTACCGTGGAGGTAAGATGTCTTTTCTGGGGAAACATTTAGGACTGTAGTTTTTCACAATACATGATGTAGGAAACTTGTAATTCAATGTATAAAAGTACATATTTGCTTGACACATAGTTGACTATTTATTCAAAGGAAATGATATTTACTCGTAGCAGTCATCAGGAAAAAAGAACAGTGATGCACAATACATGTTAAGTCATGTATCCTGAAATAAAATAACATTCTTCTGGAATGTTTTGGTCGTTCTTTCACTGTAGCACAATGGATATTTTGAACAGTCACAGTTGCCAAACCTAGCCAACACCCAAGTTGATTGGGAATAAAGATTAGCCTCTTGTTGTACTGTTGCCACACCTGCTCTAGCTTTGCGTATTTTAACGAGAATTTTTGCTCCATACTTTTTATGCACTGCCCTAAATTTGCTATGGCAACCTTCAGGTAGATGCAGCTCTTATTGCAACTGGAAGGGCTCCATTCACTCAAGGACTTGGGCTGGAAAATGTATGTTGTCTGGCATAATGAATTAGCTGACAATGGAAATTAATTTTTAAAATTTGAAAACTATCTTTTATCCATGCAGATTAACGTACAAACACAACGTGGATTTGTCCCTGTTGACGAGCGCATGAGAGTAATTGATGCAAATGGAAAGTTGGTGAGTCGTGAGTTTCATTTGCTTGTTTATGATGTTTTATATTCCTTTATTTTGCTACCATTTGGGATGTTCACTACTTTATTTTGCTGACATGCTTTTCTGATAACTAGGCTCCTCACTTGTATTGCATTGGCGATGCTAATGGGAAAATGATGCTTGCTCATGCAGCAAGTGCACAGGGAATCTCTGGTAAAAACCCAATAATTTTTGGAAATTGGGTATTCTTTATCAACTTATATATACTTAATTAATTTCTGGCATTTCCCTTTTAGTCGTTGAGCAAGTTTCTGGGAAGGACCATGTGCTGAACCATTTAAGCATCCCGGCAGCATGCTTTACCCATCCTGAAATCAGTATGGTTGGATTAACAGAGGTATAAGTTTACTTTCTGATGTTTTTCTTTGCTTTTGTACCTAATTCTCTTCAACTCTCTCTCTCTCTCTCTCTCTGGGTAAATGCCCTTCTATTTCATAGAGTAACTTTTCTTTTTATATAGTTATGTAGATGTGCATCCTTGTGGAAAGCCAGCACAGAAGTTATATTAAAGGTTCCTGTTTGTGAGGATTTATTTGCTTTGATGGTTATAATTACAATCTCTAAATTTGCAAATTAATCCCCGCACTCGTTGATAGCATCTGTTCTATGAAAATAAACATACCCACCACCCATTGTGTAACCATTGAAGGAGTTGAGAAAACTTAACCCAGTGGAACTGTTCTTTTTAAATTATGCACAATTTCGAAGTATTACTATTATTCTACATCTAAAAGTTTTTGGGCAGGCCTTATTTGGAAGACTTCTGAAATAATCTTTGAAGTCATAAGAAGCCATAGATATACACAAATCACTTTGGGGTATTGAGACTGTTGAATAACTTGTTCACATAACGGATGGGTTTGGTAGATTATCAGCAAAAAACCCCATGGAGGTTCAGTTATGGGATGCTTACTTACTATACTCCATGTGGTAGTGGTGATTGAGTTATAGAACGCATTCTTCTGACCAGCAGTTTTACTGTGGCCAGTCTTGTAAAGATTGATTGAATATTTGATTTGACTGGTTTTATCCTGCATTGCAATATTTGTAGCTGGTCTGCATTCTTGGAGAAAAATATCATAATCTTAATTTGTAGTTTGAAGAAAATTTTCCTATTGCCACCAATAGTCATACTGATTGCAGGAGAAGATTTCACCGCCCTACAGATACTATAGCAGATATTATAAACAGAAAGTTTCCTTTTTGTTCTGATTAGCTTGCTGTGGTAGTGCCTCTTCAGATACTATAGCAGATATTATAAACAGAAAATTTCCTTTTTTGTTCTGATTAGCTTGCTGTGGTAGTGCCTGTCTGAAACATTCGTCCGCATGCGCACGCGCACACTCACACATGATCACCCACAAATAGAGGGAAAGAGCTTTTTTATTAACACCTTTTAAAATGACGATATTTTATTATTCTATCCTTGTGGTTGGGTTTATCTCCATCCAAGTAGTGGATAGAACCTTAAAAGAAATAGAAAAAAAATGTGTAGATAATTTCTTGCGGGTGACTTTTCTGAATACTATTCATTTATTCATAGAATCTTGCTTGAATAATCTTAACTTTGGCAGCCTCAAGCAAGAGAAAAAGCTGAGAAGGAGGGATTTGAAATGAGTATTACAAAAACAAGTTTCAAAGCTAACACAAAAGCCCTTGCAGAAAATGAAGGAGAAGGACTTGCCAAGGTGATACATGATTTTTTAGAAACTGTTGCATCACAAGTATGAATGGTCGATATTCTGTCCTCAATTACTTCTTCATGATAGCAAAAAGTGGGATAATTTGGGGAAGGGGGCAAGCTTCAAATAATTATACACTCACACACACATAATTTCTCTGCAAACTCCAACTTATGTCAACTCTCTACCCACAACTCCTGGATCCGCCACTGATGTGTGATGTACTACAGTTTTTGCTTTTGATTAGAAGGGAATGACTAATAACCAATCCTATTATTTTCATGCAGTTGATTTACAGACCTGACACTGGAGAGATCCTTGGGGTTCACATTTTTGGGATGCATGCTGCAGACCTCATACATGAAGCATCAAATGCCATCGCCATGGGAACGCGTATACAGGTAAATTTTGCCTTTAAATTTGCATTGCTTTTATATGGAAAGCCATTTTACTCTGAAACCTACAAGTGGGGTGACAAATAACTTGTTAACTGGGGCCAAGGATGCATGTAGCTATTCTGATAGTACACAAAATATATATCAAGTCATAAAAAGGCAAGTGAAATCACTTAGACAACCAAATACTCGTGCTTGGACTTATTTGTATCTTTAACAGAAGGCTGATAGCATTTAGATGACATGGATAATATAGACTAGACTCATCTACCGTTTAAATTGTTTGAATTCCCGAATCTTTGGGCTTACTCTTATGTACTTATGTTTGCAGGATTCACCAAGTTTTCAACATCAATTTAAATAATCTGCTTCTACATTCAGATGCTTATTATTCATTAAAACTTTTGAACTCTGCAGGACTTAAAATTTGCTGTTCATGCGCATCCAACACTGTCTGAAGTTCTAGACGAGCTCTTCAAATCAGCAAAGGTAATATCTCATTTTCCTCTATAGTTTTTTTTCCCCGATAAGACCCCTAATTGCCCCGAGGATTCATGTCAAGAGGCAATAGAGGAAAACATGGTCAATTTGTGTGTGCATCTCGACCCTCTAAAATACTGAACTCGTCTTTTGTTGCTGGCTGAAGTTGTCACTGTGAAACCCTTGCCACTAGGCGTAGCTCATTGTAGTCCAAATCTATGTAAAATTGTTGTTAGTATGTGTTTGTCAATTGTCTGGAAATCCGAGAAGATTTCCAAGTTGTTTCAAGAATACCTTAACACGCTTGCATATATAAATTGCAGGTAAGTAGGAAACCCTCACTAGGACCTGAACCGAAGTTCCCTCTCATTTTTCACTGGTACATTAGATGACTTATAATGCACGAATGATATGCATCAAGACAGCTTCTGTATATGGCAAATGTATTTTCAGTCTGGTCAAAGTCATATAATTGCAGCAATACAAAGTAATACTATTATTATTATTATTTTTTGTTTCTCTTACTGCAGGTTAAAGTCAACAGTTCTAGTCCAATCGCTCAACCAGTTGCGGTGTAGGCTTCTCGAAGTGGTGTAATTTATTGAAATATGCAGCTTCTTGTTATTGAGGAAAGCGGGATAATATATGTTCGTTGCCATAAGTTCTCTATTTCGCCATATTCTTTTTTACTTCAAGTTTGTGACTCACCTGGACAATGTGCCTTCTTTTGAAGCATTAAACTTGTATTCGAGCTTTGCTGGCCTTTTCGTGCCCTAGGAGTCCAATTTTGTTTTTCTTTAGTGTAAAAGCCGTCGAGTTTGAACTTAAAATTTGTTGAATTTGAGAGGGAATGAAATTATAAATAAAATACAACATATATTAGTTTTTATCTTATTGAGATTATCCATGCCTACTGTTGACGATATAATCTGTTTCAACCTTTTTACTGTATTAAATAGCATTAGGGTGTATAAATGATTGAAATTGAGTAATGCCATTATGAGGTTTAGGTGATATGACTTCTACGTGGAATAATGAGATTTGACAGTTCAATTTTCATGAAAGAGAGGCAGAAGAGATAGAGAAATATGAAGGATAATGAGTTGTCACATCATCAATGTTCTATTATTATGAGGATAAATAGTATTACTCTTTAATGATATCATGTTGCCATGTAAGTTGATGATGGTCATCAACGATGACAAATCTATTTAGTATACATAGTGTTTAATACTAATCTGGGTCTTGGAGGTTTTTTTCAAATATGCAAGTTGCAAAAATGGAATTCTGAAATGTTCAATGGGAAAGGTTTTAGATTTTTCATTTTGGGGAAATTAGGACCAACTCCTCAACATTTAAAAGTGATATTTTGACTCCCAATTGGTGGCTTTCACGTGAGCTAAAGTTGAATGGCAAAACTACAAAATCGCTAGTATATTTTTAAAATTTTAACATGAAAGTCATGTGCTATTTTAATTATCTTTAGAGATGTAAACTTTGATTTGCTTCAAATATTGAAAATTGGTTGAATTGCCTTCTTATTTTAAGTACTCAAGAAAACTCTTAAACAAACTTGAAGTTGTCATAGCTAAAAATGAAATGAAATGTTTAGGTTCCGTTTGATACATCATATTTTTCATGGAAAATGATTTTTTTTTTTTTTTTTCATTTTTCAACTTTTGTAATGTTTGATAGGCAAAATTTTCCTGGAAAATTGTTTTCCAACTTCCCAAATTTTCTACCTTTTTTAGGAAAACAAATTCTTGATGACTTGATGTTTTGGTTGGTAAATATTTTTCAATTTTTTTTTTTTTTGGCAATTGGAAAAAATTATATACACAATGGTAAAAAAATTTATCGCTTTTATTGACAATTTTCTTGCAAAATTAGACCAAACAAATGATATTCGGTATGATAATTTTTTTTCAATTTTTTTTTTTGCAATTGGAACAAATTCTAGACCCAATAGTAAAAAAAAATTATCACTTTAATGACAATTTTCATAAAAAACGAAGCCACCAAACTTTCAACATTTTTCATGAAAAATTATATCAATCAAACACAATTAATTATAATTCTCAATAAAACAATTTCTAAGTAAAACAATTCCCTGTAAAACATTTTATTTTCACCAATTTTCCATATTTACAATCAAACAGACCCTTAGATCAACTTTAGAGAAAAAAATGTGTTTATTGTTAATGAAATTAGAGCAAAGTATACAGTAATTAGCATAAAAAGTAGTGTTGGAAATGCGTCATATCTTTCAAATGAAAGTTAGCTCTCTCCATTGGTCTCTATTTATAGGATGGAAGATCACACCACTTGGCCGCCTCATGTCATTTCAACTATAATGTCGTCCTAAAATCATAAAATGCATGCCGCTTATTCAGAATTTCACTACATTGATTGATCGTTGAGGTCGATCTCGTCATGTCATCATTACAAATAAGTTTAACCTATGACATCAGGTAATGATGGTATGATATCAAGTAATTATTGATTGCTGATAATTGGTTGAAAATGACGTGCCGCTGTCAAGGTTGCCAAGTGTCGTTCAAGGAGTGGTTGATGGAAAGGTGTGGCCGTGATTATACATTATTATGTCTCTACAAATTACGATGGTCATTTGTTAGATATGATCTCGTGGCTAACGCATTCGACCTTAAGGTTTAGAGTAGGCATAGTAATACAAAAATATTTATTTTAATGAGGTGGGAGGTTGAACTTCAACAGTAATCTTGATGTTTAATCTCAATAAGATCCCTCATATGGCTACTTTCTTTTCGTTTGATTGGAGTTGGGGTAGTTAGACTAATTGTAGTGTTCGTCTTGTATGTACCATTCAGGTAAAATCTATCAATGGCCACCCAACTTTATACTTAATTTCATCATAGTCACCTGATTTTATTTTATTTCACAATGGCCACTCAATTTTATATAACGTTTCACCATGACCATCCAATTTCTTTTCACTGTTTTCACTAATTTTAAAGGGGCAAAATTGTAACTTTGTATTATACATAAAAAATAAAAATAAAAAAGTTTTTATTTTATTTTAAAAACTTTTTTTAAATAATTTTTTATTTTATTTTATTTTTAAGGATTTTTTTTGTTTAAATGACTTTTTATTTTAAAAATTTTTCTAATCAATTTTTTTATTAAAATAAGTTTTTATTTTTTTTAAAAACATTTTAAAATAATTTTTTATTTTATTTTATTTTTCTAAGTAACTTATTTTAAATAAGTTTTTATTTTATTTTTTAAGTAACATTAATTCAAAAATAAGTTTTTATTTATTTTATTTTTAAATAAGTTTTTATTTTAAAATTTTAAAATTTATTTTATATATATAATGCAAAAATACTGTTATACCCTTTTAAAATTAATGAAAATGGTGAAAAGAAGTTGGATGATCATGGTGAAATGTTATATAAAATTGAGTGGCCATAGTGAAATAAAATCAAATTGGGTGGTCATGGTGACTAAGTATAAAGTTGGATGACCATGGTAAAACAAAATTAAATTGAGTGACCATGGTACACCAAGTATAAAGTTGGATAGCTATTTGTAGATTTAACCAATATTAAACTGTGTATTATAGATATATATATATTTTTAAAAATATATATTATCCACCATCTCATCAAACATGCTACCGTTTATTGTTGCAACTGTTGAAAATAAAGCAGGCAAAACGTTCGGACTTATAAATCTCAGATAGAAAAGGATGTAAAGAAAGTCACACGAGTTGAAAATGGAGGAAAATTATTAGATTTTTAATCAAACCTAGAAAGGAAAGGATGTTGAATCTTGTAACACATTCGTTGTTAGAAACCAAACTAAAACGAAATTCAAATAAATAGTTGAGTGACTAATATAAAACTTTACTCAAAGTTGGTGACCTTACAATAATTTATCTAAAAATAATATTTGAAAATGATTTAAGCTATTTGTGCTGATTGATAAACATTAAGGTGGCAAATGATTTAAAAAATAGTTTTTGAAAATTTTAAAATGGATGATACCCAAATGAGTGTGATAAGATCAGATCAACTAAATATTGCCGACACCAATTTTATAAACCGTCAACCTGTTTTGTACACAGTGTTATTCGAAAGTGGTTTGCGCACACCAACAAGTTACTAAACAGTCAGAATCATTGCGTATTTGAGGTGAACTGTAGTTGAATCGGTCGAGGAATTGCAATCCGTTATTTTTCAAGTCATCGAGGGAGTAATACGAAAGTAGAATAATGTTTTTGGTGGATTGGTTCTATGGAGTACTAGCATCTCTAGGGCTATGGCAAAAGGAGGCCAAAATCCTCTTTTTAGGCCTCGATAATTCCGGCAAAACCACCCTCCTTTATATGCTTAAAGACGAGGTACGAGATGTTTCATTTGTTTAATTTTTATGTGAAGTGTGTGTCTGTATATGTGAAGAATTGAAATTACTCGTGAATTATTAAGGTAGGTTAGTTTTGATTGTATAAACTTGTTTTTATTGCTTATATGATTAATCCGCGAGGCTATGAGATGAGTATCAGAAATTAACTGTGTTTCTATGAATATTGTCAATAATCACTGTATTGAAGGTTTAAAAGTGAAACTGAGATAGTTCTGTTGTGGAAATGAGCAGAGATTGGTACAACACCAGCCAACCCAGTATCCGACATCAGAGGAGCTGAGTATCGGGAAAATCAAGTTCAAAGCTTTTGATTTGGGAGGTCATCAGATTGCACGCCGAGTTTGGAAAGATTACTATGCCAAGGTATTATCTTTGCAAAATTATGCAACTGCGGTCTGCGGTAGTTGATTTACATTTACTTGCATGTTTATTTAATTACTGGGCCATAACCAGAGAATTTTACTGAAGTAGTATATTGAATTGCTGAAGTTTTCTCTGTGGTTATTGGCATTAAATTTCTAATTCTTTTAAGATAGCATGATATCTGTTTGTTTTCTTCCTTGATTTTGGCATTCATGCTGTATACAGCAATGTGACATAGATGTTCAGTATTGCATGAGAGCTGTTATTATGGCATTGCATTTTAGTTGTTACAATTAGATAAATTGTTTTTCTTTTCTTTTCTCTATTATGTGGGAGTCAGTCAAAGACCATAATACCATATTAAGTAGGTCTGAATAATTGATATTTTATTGATAAGCTTCCCGTATTAGGCTTGTGGTAGTAGTTCTGGGGGCAAGTTTTTACAGTCGATTTTTTGTAGTATATGTTCTTTGCTACTCAATCACATAAAGTTGTGTATAAGAAGAAATGCATAACAGAGAAGAAACCATCAAGAACGTAATCTACCCGACAGAGAAGAGATGATTCTATTCTGCTAGCCCATGTTTATAACACTAACCATTTTTTGGTTTATTTGATTCATGGGAGGTCCAAATGGAGTCGGGGAGTTCGTTAAGAGCACTTTTAATTTTTCTAGGAAGTTTTTCACTAATACCTCATCAGACTGGTTTCATTATCCAAATTCTAACTATATTCATAAGAAAACTTGTTAAAAGAGTGACTCGGCCAATAGCCTAAATGTAAACCACAAGGAGGATGCATGTGTTTTTTAAATTGTTGAATTCAGATAAATTGCAAAGTGAAAATAAATGCTGATATTATTTGATGGTTTAGTTTCTAATCTTCGCTCTTTGCTTATTATGATCGAAACTAGTTTTTAGTTGTTGTCATTTGGACTGCGAATATGTATTTCCATTGTGATATTTTTCTTGGCAGCATCAGTCTAATGGTCATATCATGGATTGAAAGTTCACAGTTTACGAGTTATATATTTGTATTATTGGTTTCCAAGGTATAATGTGCTATATTTTTCTGTGTAAAGGTCGATGCAGTTATTTATTTAGTTGATGCTTACGACAAGGAAAGGTTTGCAGAATCAAAGAAAGAGCTGGATGCTCTCCTTTCTGACGATTCCTTGGCTAATGCTCCGTTCTTGATTTTGGGCAACAAGATTGACATCCCTTATGCTGCCTCGGAAGATGAGTTGAAGTACCACATGGGCTTGATGGGCATCACTACCGGTAAGGGGAAAGTAGATTTGGCAGATTCAAATGTGCAGCCACTTGAGGTATTTATGTGCAGCATTGTGCGTAGAATGGGTTATGGAGAGGGCTTCAAATGGCTCTCTCAATACATCAAGTAGTGTGAAAAAGGAGAATTGATATGTTTTGCCTTTTACTATCTATGTAGTTATGTTTTATTAGACTTGAGTTCAGAATGTCGCTCTCTGAAAGCATTGTTAGATAAATTTCTATAGATTTACGGTTTTTACTGAAATGAAAAAATAGTGGTTTTCTAGTATGTTATGCAGGGTTAGTCAAGTGGTTGATGGAATTGTCACTCAGAGGTTAGAAAATGTATTTAAGTTTGGAGAAGTGTTTTTGTTTTATCATTATCTTCTTGAACATGTTATGTGTTCGTTATGTATGATGTAATATAGCAAATGCATGGATAGTGAACAAGTACGGAATTGAGGGTATGGTTATTAAGGATATTGTTATATGGAATCTTTAAACAATCATGTTAAATTGATATAATGGTTGATATAATCCTTAACATGATGTCACATGACATCCTATCATTAGATTGTTTAAAACGTAGTTAACTTTTTCAACTAATCACATTTTGTCAATACCGATTATGTCAACCATTATGTCGCATCTTTCGGGCAAAGTAGCACTTTATTCATCTTTAAATAGATTTATCAATGAAATGAGCGAAAACATAACAATATTCATTTACTTGATTGCAAATTCTATTTTTTCTCCCTGAGCATAACTTTGGTTCCCCATATTTGCAAGATTTTTCTCGTTATTCATTTTTTAAAAACTCATTTTATAACTATACATTGTTTAATAAAATAATTTTACAAGTAAATAGAGATTTTTCTTATTTTTTAAACCACACATTCTCCAAAAAAAAACGCTATTTTAAAATACATTTTTTCTCCAAAATGGGGCTCAAACGAAGGCTAAGTTTATTTTGAATAAATTATAGTTTGTAGCGTGATTTTTAAGAAAAATGCTAGTTGTACAGTCTTCTTGTACAGTCAATTACACAGTCCCCTCACATGGGGTGGGCCCGGGTTCACCCCATGTGAGGGGGCTGTGTAATTGACTGTAAAAAAAGACTGTAAATGTAGCCTAACATACATCAAAGACTATCGACTCCTAGGCATTTTGACGTACACTTTGCAGGCAAAGTATTCAATACGATCAATGGCATTTCAGGTCATGTCAGTTCATCTGAAGGCGGAATTGGAACCTTACGATGTTTCTATTTCACAAGTTATGACAATTTTTTTTCAATGAATACTTATCGTTGCAAACATCATCTTGAATATGTGATTTTCAGGCATATGCATAAAATCGCTTATCAAAGAAAAATTGGTTTCTTTTCTAATTTTTCCAATTTTTCATCACTCCAAGGAGTTTATTTTCAAACGAGGTAGTTTACAGTGTTTTACATTGCTGAGTTAATATTGACTTGTGGGGTTATAATTCGTCGTGCCTTTTTTCCTTACAAGAATATTAAGATTTTAGTAGTGAATTTTATTCAATATAATTTTACAATTTATATTAGAGTAGGCACCGACAAATTGACTACTTTCAATAAAATTTTGGTTATGTGAAGTTACTCCATCTCAAAAAAGGTAATTGTTGCAAAACTTCCCTACATATGAAGATTTTTGTGGAAAACGTCTTTACATTTCGTTTTTTGGAGCAGAACGTCACTACATTTCACATTCTTTGCTCCGAACGTCTATTTCACCAATTTTTAACATAAAATGATCAATATACACTCGTATATAAATAAAACAAAAAATAAAAGAAAAGAAAAATAAAGAATAAATTGCAATATACTCCTAAACTTTTTTAAAAATTCAAATCAGTTCAAAACTTATGAAAATATTAAAAATAAAAAAAACACTCTCTTTCTCCTTCACCTCCCTCCACCACCTCAACACCCTCTACAATTCCATCCCAAGAATTCCCCATATCATCCAATAATCCGACAGAAATCAGCAAGCAAAATCAGCTACTCGAAAAATAGACAAAATGCTGAAAGTCG